AAAGCAGATCAGTAATTTCTTGTCTAACTCAAAATTTTTTTCATAACATGATGACATAATACAAATGACTGGCTTTACAACAAAATATTTGTTTAGTACATTTAATGTATAATTTTTAATAATATTAAATGAAAAGTACTCGAAAAATAAGTTATAAGTCCAAAGCTACAAAAACTCATCATAAACAAAAGAATGACGTTATACTGTCTAAAAATGAAATGTTTGACAGAATGTTCATTTTATAAAATATTCTCAATTTGACTTATTCTACAGTAATGGGATAAAGTGTATAGATTACGAATATCGACAGTTGATTCCTACTCGACAAAATATATCTGTACTTTATTTTTCCTATTCAACATACTTTTCATCTCCGCCTTAATAAAATGTCCTGCCATTTAATGATTATTTCAAATTGCAAGGTATAAGAATTAAAATAATATGGGTAACTTATTCTTTCAACATAGTACCACTTTATTTCTATGGAGATATAGCCACGTTTTTTTTAATTCCTATTCTAAAGCACCTGCCTGGAACTGTACTTTAAAAATTAAATTATAATGGAAAAAACCGTTGTTTATAATGTGTATAATATCTATGGGTAATTCAAAGAATAGTTATTGGATTTCTGTGGCTAGTTAATTACTTTATGAAACCATTATATATATATACATATATATATATATATATATATATATATATATATACTGGTTTTATAGGGAATATAAATTTGTTACACTTCAATTCATACCTAAATATCTTTGTCAGTATAAAACTAGGTATGGTTAGATGGTACTTCTTTTTTTGTAAATAGGTTCTATTTATTATCAACCTTTACTTACGTTTTCTATTTATTTAGGTTATTGTAACAAAATTATTAATCAGTATTATAGTTGTGATTCAGTTCATATGATTAAATAATCTCAGTAAAATATATATTTTATCTACCCTGGATACAAACCATAGATAGTTCTGTGGTTTATATTGATATTTGGAAAGAAAAAAAACTAATAATTATACCAGGTACAATCGGACAATACACTTATTCCCCTAGTTTAAAAAAAGATTAACCCAATTATTGTTTAATCAATAAAATGTCAAATATACAACCTTAGAAAAAAATAACATCAATCCAGTGCTTCCAAGTTTTCCATGATGGTCTAACTTCAACTGACTCCTGATATTAACTATGAAACTATTCAAAAATAAATCACCCTTGTGATATTAAATATCAAAACTGTTTACATAAAGTTGATTTATTCGTAAGGTTAGTAAGATTAATAATAATAATAATAAAAATAGTAAATATTTCCTTAAACTTTTATAGTGATTTATAATAAAGAAAATTAAAAATGACGTTGATAAATTGAACATAATATTGAATGTGAAATGTATGTTTATTACATAAATAATAATTATAATACATAGAAAGAAAACTTAAAATCATTACAGTATTTGAATTAATATAATTCGAAATAACTATTTCATTATATAAGTTATCTGTTATGTAATCAAAAGTTATACTACCATTTATGTTTTGTCATATTTAACAATCATTTTATACTTCATGTAAAGATATTCTAGATTAGTTGAAATCATGAGTCAATTGAAGCTAGACCATCATGGAAAAACCTGGAAGTACTGGACGGCCGTTTCGCCCTATCGTTGAACTCCTCAGTGCATTCACGATCCCGCCTCCTGCGAGATTTGAACTCAGGACCTATCAGTCTCGCGCGCGAGCGCTTAAACATTAGACCACTGAGCCGGCCGGTATAAGACGGTGTTAATGTCTAACTTCAAACAATTCACAAAATTGTGTCACTGTACACCAATGTCTTTAGTGAGCTGATATCTCACAACAGATTCGATCATGTAATACCAAGGTTACATTTTATTCAACCTAAAAGAACTAATCTATTCAACTAGAATAATAAAATACTAACTTATTCACTCAACTTTTTCTTATGTTTTGTTTGTATATATATCCGGAAATGAAGTTTTATAATAACTAGTTATTATATACGAAAGGCGAAATTCATGATTAAGTTATTTATTATATTGAAGAAAAGTGAATTTTTGAGTGAACAAATTTTACGTCGATGGAGTTTTAAATATTGGTAATATTAAGAAAATGCCATACATAAAAGTTTAGGAAAAATTGTATACCTAAATGTGTTAAGTTCAAATAAATGGGCTAAAATTGTATGTACAAAGATTAATGCAAAATAGGAATTGTTGTATCTTAATTATGATGACAGCAACAATGATTATAATCATTATAGTAATGATATAAAGAATAATTATTACTTAGAATATCATGTGAAATAAGCAAGATGAACGTATAATTAGGAATAGAGTAAAAAGTTTTGGATGAGAGTGCAAATCACGATGAATGGGGAAAGGACTAAATTCAAGCTAAGAATGAAATGACCCTAAAGTTGACCAAGGTTATCAAAGTGGTTGTGTGTATCTTTATTTTATACATAGGTCAGGTTTCTTTGAATCGATGTCCATTGTTTCAGCAATCTGAAGTGGGCGCATTCCTTAGCCTTCTGATACAATACTACGAACTTGATATATAACTGAGAAGATACCTTCCATTTTAATGTTGTGTACATAAATAATTAGGCGGAAAAGAATGGCACTATAAATAGATTTTGTAATATCTTTACCAAGTATTCCTGTACACGTTCACACACAACGAGTAATTAATGCAAAACATCGTGTTACTTAGTCCAAACAACGTAAGTATCCATATGAAATAAATTAGACTGAGAAACAGTTACTTAGATGTGTATTGTTAAGTGACGAGTGAAAATTTGGGGAAGAAGTAGTTACAACAAGAAATATCTAATACAAATATCGGTTGGATGTAAGTTTACTTCATTGAATAAAGAAATGGAGACAGTTCACATTGATTCGTACAATTTTAGTTATGGGTATTAATTATTTTAAATCGATATCTCAATGTTACATGTATTGAAGAGTTTTCTATCTACATAAAAGTCTTGCTTAACTTAAAAAAAAATTGTCATAACTTTGTATCAGTGCATTAATACTCACACTATCAATGATTTATTTGAATTACATGACCAATTTGATCGATTTCGAGAACATTAATTGAGGTTCCCTTCTTTTTGTTGACGGGCAGTCAATTGTTTTAACTAACTAAACAAAGGTTTTAATGTAAAGCTGAAACTTGGCCTTGCAAGTGTACACATTTTTTCTGTAAAAAGAAATCCGTTTTCTGACTACTTACTGCGTCGTTTATTATCCATCAATTGAAGGACTTTAGTCAACAGTTTAATTACTTGTAGTAAATGTCATCCGGTCACACAAATCATGTAAATGCAGTTGTTCGACAAAACATTCACAGAATCCATACATCATTTTATTTTCACAGATTGAACTCATGAGTCAGTTGAAGCTAGGCCACCGTTGAAAAACTGGAAGCACTGGACGGCCGTTTCGTCCTAGCATGGGACTCCTCAGCAGAGCGCATCCACGAACCCGCACCACCCGGGGCTCGAACCCAGGACCTACTGGCTTCGCGCGCGAGCACTTAACCATTAGACCACTGAGCCGGCATCTAACGGTGTTAATGTCTAACTTCAACCAATCCACGAAGTTGCGCTACCGTACACCATTGTCTTCAGTGTGTTCCTATCTCACAACAGACCTGGTTGTTATCTCACATTAATATTGATTAATGGTTTGTATTTATTTTCTGGGCTGGATAATATTATTTAAACAAGTTGGTTTAGCCTATAAATGAAATGATCAGTACAAATATTGAAAACAGCGAGCTGTACAGTAATCTCGACATCTAACATATCAATCAATCCTAATGACTGGCTAAAAATTGATGTCTTAATTGTTTTATAAATTCGTAATTGTTTTTTTTGTTGATCACAAACACAAATAAATGCCCATAAACATATTCACTTCTAGCTAATTGAATTATCGACTATCGAAATAGTATGTCAAAGTTTATTATATTTCTCGTACATAAGTTATTTTAATACTGTCTTAATAATATATTAATTCACATTAATAACAAAAATAACTTAGTGCTAATCAAAGCATTTGACTTGTTAATATGATATCAAATATTAAGACTACTATAAGTATCAGTATTGAGTTGTGGAGATTATTAAGTTTTTGGTTGAGATCATGAACTGATTGATGTTAGATCACCATTGAAAGCCTGAAAATACTGTACGGCTCTTTCGTCCTCTTGCGGGACTTCTCAGCAGTGTCCATTCACGATCCTGCTCGCAATATTTGGAGCCAGGGCCTTCGTTCTCGCAAGCGAACGCTTAGTCTCTAGGCCACTAAGCAAATCCGTGTCGGGTAAAGACCTCAGTACAACGGAAGACGGGTGCGCAACTTCGTGGATTGGTTGAGGTTAGACATTAAAACCTTTGGATGCCGGCTTAGTGGCCTAAAGGTTAGGTGTTCACGCACGAGACCGGTAGGTTCTGGGTTCAAATCCCGTGAGCATGATCGTGGATGAGCACTACTGAGGAGTCCCACAACAAGACGAACGGCCGTCCAGTGCTTCCAGATTTTCAATGACGGTCTAACATCAATCGGTTCATGATCTCAATAAAAAAGTAGAAGTTCTCTATTCATAATATTTTCATTCTGTTTGATAATTCTAAATTCACATAGTTTAAACGCTATACTTTGCTCTTAATCTGGTCATTTTTCATATTATTAATTTGGATATTTAATTGTAGAACCTCAAGAGTTTTTATCGAAAAGAATCTTTTAATATGATAGGGATCTTTAAACGAATTGCATATCAATTAGATATATATTTATTCATTTAGAAAAGCATATCCTGCATATCTATCAGAATGTTTGTTATTCCATGTCTACTTATCAAAAGAATAGCAAATAATTAATTGTGTAGATTTTAATTACATGAGTATTTCTTATTCCCTTTAATGATACATTAAATGAATACAACATATTATATAATAAATAATAATTTATATTCTGAAAATAATAATTACAGTATGATATAAATAGTAACATTAGACGTGCAGAACAAACATGTGATAGAAGAAAGTTTTAAGTAAACCAGTTCAGTAATTGTTTAAGTAGTACATATATTACAGCGATCCAATGCATCAACCGGGAACTATTATTTTTTCTTAAACGGACAGCCTGTTGATTTATGAACAGTGTAAATAAGGTCATTTCGTGTGCCAGATCGAATTAATGATAATTATCTACAACTAGAGAAATTAAAACAAAAGCAGAGAACACGGAACAACAAAGCAGTAATTACCAAAATATGTCAATAAGGTCTACCTAAATGCGTGTGTCATGTGACACAGTGATATACTGTTGATGTTAGATATTATTCAAATTAGTTAAACTTGCTAGGAACGGGGTTACCATAAAGTGACATCAGGTAGGTGGTTTTACCTAGGGAATGCACTAATAAAAGTGGCTAAACATTCAAAGATTCTATAATACTACTTGTGGAATGAGATAAACTTACAGGTGCTAGAACATTCAATGTATTTTCAGAGGAGCAGTATGCAGCGAACGAATAATGGGAGTGATTTTATTTTACGAATAGATTGTGGTAGGTTATTCCAGAGTCTAGAAAATTTACAGGTAAAGTAACTCATATAGAGAGATGATTTAGAATAAGTTTGTTTCACTAGTGACAAGGAATTACGGATGTCATAATGAGAAGTTTCTGCATATTGAATCACTTAATTGGATATATAGGATAGTTTATTAAATAGTTTGAAGAAAAAGATAGGATTTAGTTTGAGTCTCCTCTTCCATAAAGGGTCTAGCTCAAGTTTATTACATATAAAATTATAAGTTAAGGTACAATCAACTCCAAGAATACGAAGTCTAAATCGTCTCTGTACTGATTCCAGCCTCAACTTATCCTTTATGCGCGCACTGCTAAGAATAAACGTGCAATATTCTAGAAGAGGTCGAACACAAACTTTGTACATTAGAATACGTGACTCATTATTGTAAAGGTTTAGAGTTATGTAACCTACAAGACGTTGAGAATTAGAGATCTGTTTCAATATCTGTTCTGTAAACGACAAGTCGTAGGAGTACCTAAGTCTACTACTGTATTTAACCTAGACAACACTTCACCATTTATGGTAAGATCTAAGCTGAGTTATGTATCGCCGAAGTATATCCATCCATATTTAGCCGCATTAAGCTCCAGTTGCCATTTTAAGCACCACTGTGCTACCTTGTTAAACTCTATGCTGATGTGATTTTGCATATTTTTCAGCTCATGTGGAGAAAATGAATATACTACTTTAAGATCATATTCATATAGAAGGGGCTTATCGACACAAAAGCTTTCACAAATATCATTTATATACACTAAAAAGAGCAAAGGACCTAAGACACTACCTTGTATTACACCATTTCTAACAGGGACAGCGGTAGACAATGAAGAGTTAATTTTAAATACATTCTATAGTTACTCAATTTATTTATCAAAGAAAAAATATCAGAAAAATGTTTACCTTAATAAAACTTAGTATTCTAATCATTATCATAATAAACTATGAACAATTTAAACAATCAATAATATAGTTATTTGTTGTTGCAACATATTTACATGATTGTTTTCTTTACATTTACACCAATAAAGTGACTTTGTCAGTATATTACATCATTTCTTTCTTTCTTTGTTGTTGTTGTCTTTCTAATCGAATTACATAGTACAATTTAACCATCATATCATTCAGATTTAATAATAATAAACAAATTGATAGTTCTCAATTTCATGTTAAGTAATAAATCAATTATACACTTTATATTGATTTGTACATTTATTTATATAATCAATAAAGTTTTTTTCTTTTCTTTTTTAAAAAAACACACTACGTCATTCAATCTCAATTAGAAAGTAAATACTTTGAAAGAAAAAAGAAAGAAAAAAGAAAAGAAAGAAAAAAGGAAAAGAATAAACTACATATACATTGACGGATCAATTTACTTACAAGAAAAATAATAAAAAGAGAAGAAAAGTATTACAGAAACAACTAATTGATACAAAATAATAATATAATATTGAATATAATAAAAAAACCCATATAAATTATTATAATGCAGTAACTGTTTGTTTTGTATAATCAATATTACGTGAATTTGTTTTCTTTTGTTTATTAATACGTACAAATAATGATTCATTATCACGATATGAACTATCATTATTTTCACTATTTTGTATTATTGTATCATCACAATAACTATGATTATATAAATCAGAACTTGGTACACTTAAATTAGGTGATTCAATTGAACCAAGTGATATAGTTGGTGAAAATGATGTTAGATTACGATTAGTAAATTGTGATGGAATATATTTAGATATATTATTATTATTATTATTATTTAATATTGATATTTTATTGAATTGATTATGATTATATTCATTTGATAATTGATTGAATTCTGAATTTTGACCTTGAGAATATTGTTCCGTTTTATTGATTTTCATTGCATTAGAATTAATAGTAGTAGAATTATAATGATCAGTAATAAAATTATTCATTTTTATAGTAGACATTTTATTTTTATTAGAATTAATTGTAGAAAATGATGTTTTTGCACTTATTGTATAATTATCTTCATCTTCAGTGGTCACGTTATCTTCATCACAATAAACTGAATTAATAAGTGATAAACGATTTGGTATATTGTCTAATAATAATGGTGTAGGTGTAGGGAAATTATTACAAGATTTATTAGATAAATAATCATTTTGTTTTTGATTAAGATAATTGATAAATAAAGTATTAACATAAGTTGAGGATTGTTTGTCATCCGCTAATGTTATTGATGTTTTCATTATTGACGGTGTCGTTGTTGTTGTCGTCACTGAGGCAATGTAATCACTGACTATAGGATTACATATGACTTGAACTGATTGAGTAATTGATGAATTACTACGAGATGGTTCATTAAAAAATTGATTATCTATAAAACAAACGCATTAATTTTTTGAATTAATATGAAAATTATTTCAAAAGTATTAAAATAAAGGTTTTTTTCATGCTAATAAAGTTCCTAAAAGCAGCATACTAATGGCTAATTTTGTTGATTATATAAAATCACAGCGTTATTTTGACTATCCCCACTATTTGTACACTTTAGTTTAAGTTTACTGTAATTGGTCAATTTGAAAAAAATGTTGGTTTATATTTCGAGAAGACCTCTGCTATTTGTTCCCAGTCATTAGTTGACCATAATTTTAGTAAAAATTTTCAGTGAATTTCAAAAATCGTTAACGGAATGTACTTACAACGAACTATTGCTCATCTTACTTTGAAAGACAGTTTATGATACACTTTATAATTAAATATTGAAATTCTTCATTTATTTGAAGAGAATAGTATGTATGAGTATTTTGTTAGATGTAACACTTTCCATTTTTTGGATGTTGACAGTCTATAGGAAAATAGTGAAATACAAGCTTTCGGATTTCATAATGAGATTATCATGAGATAAAATAGCTGACTACTCTACCAGAAGGCAAATTAAAATACTATCGATTTCTCTGTTGAAAATCAAACAACTTTCATTTATTTTTATGTTAACTATTGACAAAGTAAAAGCATTTTTGTAAAAGAAGGAAACAGTGGCATGCACTTCATTCTCATAGCATGCATATAATGATGAACTGGCGAAAGTAACTTACTATAATGTTGAACTATCAAATTCAAAATCTGTAAAAAAATTATGCATACTTAGTGAATTGACGTAAATTTTGGCTTATTTAAAGCTTAGTGATGGTACACTCATTCTGAAATGACTTTTGTAACGTATAACATATCTGGTGGATAAATACTGACAGGAAAATATCCACACAATCATCTTCGTGATGAAAGTGTGAATTTTTAGTAGAGTAATGAATCAGCAAATAATAATGCTGAGGTTAAGTGTTTATGCCCGAGAATGAAGGCCCTGGGTTGTGGATGCGCACTTCTGAGGAGTCCCACGACAAAACGGCCGTTCAGTGTTTTAAGGTTTTCAATCGTGGTCTAACATCAATCAGTTCATGATCTCAATCGAAAACTCAATAATCTATACTGATAATAATGCTGATAATTGAATGACTTTAATAAATTCTAATTAGGGTATTACTTGTAAATGTACTAATGTTCGTCTAAATTTGAATGAATAGTTTCATAGTATATGGGTACCAAGTTGATGTAAGACATTAAGAAGCAAGAATGTATTTGTAAAATCTCAGCGAATCAATTCGATGTAAATCCAACGTTTCACTCAACAATCTGTTCCAAGCTTTTACAATGAAATATAATCAATTATTCAAATTATCTAATGTACATTCAACACAAATACATTCTCTTTCGTTAATTCAATACCTGTAATTCGATTAATTTCTGCTGCTGTTCCAAGTATTTTATTTTTTTAGTCTATTTTGAATGTTCGAGTAGTAAACAATGACAACGAATAACTGAAATATTTATTTAAAACTTTCTAATTTTCAAATACAATAGCACTAATGTTAGTGTTTCATATGAATAAATTAATTTTTCAATAATTGAGATCATGAGTAAATCGAAGCTAGACCACCATGAAAAACCTGAGAGCCATTTCATTCTATTGTGAGACCCTTCAGCAGTGCGCACCTTTTATCCGGCGAGGCGAGATTCGAACCCAGGATCTATCAGTTTCTCGCGTGATCTCTTAACCTCTAGACCACTGAACTTGCATCCAATAGTGTTAATATCTAACTTCAACTAATCCACGAAAGTGAGTGACACATCTACCATTGTCTTTAATGAGGTACTATCTCACAACAGACTCAATTAAACCCAATCAATTTTTATTTAATACAAGTGCGAAATCAACATGATAGTTAAAATCAAGAAAAAAGAAAAAAAAGTATACATAAAAGTCAATAATTAATGATTGAACAAACAAAAATGATAGAAAGTTGTTTTGTTTTTATTAGAAAAACAAATTCATTTAGTTCTTTTCTTTTTTCGATTGACCGGTAATTCTTAGTTACTTTAACTAATTAACTGTCACCTGAATTTGTTATCATGTATTTATCAAAAAAATTGAAGAAAATGAAAAGAAAGAAAAGAGAGAGAATTTCTAGTGTTTTATTTAATGTTGTTTATATTGATAAGTGATTGTGTTTTTTTTGTTGTTTTTTTTATTATTTTAAAATCTTTCTTTTCCTTAGTGTTTACTTTTGGTGTCCAGAAATGAGTAAACTTGTGAAAACAAAATCTTTAAAAATTCTTTAAAATTGACTGTGAAATAATTAAAATATAAATTAGTAATTGTGTTTTGTTCAATATGGATGATAAATGTGAATGTTTTTTTTTGTAATCAGACCAAGCATTATTCGCAAGTATTTTCTTTGTTTGTTTTTTAATATGAAAAAGGGATAAAGGATTAATATCTTGTAGTTCGGTAAACTACCGATATTTAAATATTAGAGTTAAGAATATGGATACAACAATATTGTTACCATGTAACACTATAACTGTGATATAAATGTGTAAATCCACTGTCTAAGGTATTTTGATGTGTAAGATTTGATTGAGTAGTGCTTTTTCAATGTAAAAAATAGAAGAATAACATAATATAATGACATTTTAGATTTACTTAATATTCTACTTTATCTCCGTATTCTTTATATTTAGGTAGTTTGTAGTTAGTTTCTTTTATTGTTTGCCAATCCAATTTTTGTGAATGATATAACTTTCAAGCGTTTTTAATAGATTATTAATTTTATTTGAAAAAATGAAGTGATCATTAATAAATTAGTTGAAATGCTCACTGTTGTGACTCAGTATGACGTTAATGTGCCCTACTTTTATTTAACTATTAATCAAGGGAACGTATATATATATATATATATATATATAACCGTTGCCAGAAATTATTCATTTTCTTACACCTAACGTAGCTGATTGTCTTGTTTTTTATTTTCACTTCTTTCTGAATGGAAATATTTATACCTTATTATTGTACTGAGTGTATTATTGTATATTCCAGACACAAATGAAGTAAAAATGGAATTTATTTATTTTGACCATAATTTCACTAAGACTTTGATTTGATAGTATAATGACACGTGTTTAAAAAGGTTACCCCAAGTAAAATAAGTCGTATACAGATCTTTTTAATTTCTTGGTTTAATTTTAAGTGTGATATTTTGGACCGAAATATTATTGTTAAATGATTTTATTTCAAAGCAAATGACTCTTGGTAATAATGAGTAATAAAAACTAAGGATATACTTGACTGCTACAGAACAATATTCACTTAACTGAAATATGAGTCGACGGGTAATGACAATCATTAAAATAAATTATTGGACATGAGTAATTTCAACTGTTGCAGAAATTATAAATTTTAAAGTTGAGGGGTGTAAGTCTATTTAGTGAAAACTGCAAATCACGAGTCAGTAATAACAAATTATTTTAGATAAAAATTTGAGGGTGGTAACGTTGATGAAGTACTTGTGATTGATTGAAAGTAATGAAAACTAATTGACCAAAGAGTTACAAACTTTGAAAATTTTGAATAACCATTGGGCTGACATAAAAATCTAAAAATCTTAGTACTGAGGACTCAGATGTGTTTTTTTTAAAGCATTTTCAACGATGAAGCATTGCGATATCATTTTGTTAAATTATGAAGCCTTGCTTAGTTATTCTCTATTGTTGTAAGAAAATAAATTTATACTCCAGTATTTATTTGACAGAATATTCATTCGTTCGTGGTATTCAATTAGTTTGGGAAGATTTTCAATACTATTTTATATTATAATAAAAGTAGCTATAAATTTTACTATGCCTGTAATAAAACCAAGTCACCGAATATTACATTTGTACCTTAAATCAACATTTTGCATTAAAACACATTTACTCAAGTGTAATAAGTATCGTCTTATTTGGTCATCAATGTGGATAGACAAATTAATTACAAATTTTGCTTTATTAAGAGCCAAAAAAATAAATGAATTAGACGTTGTGCATTGAATTTTTTATGATAAAATTCTTTCTTATTAAAATGATTAGTAGGATGTATTTGTAAGGACAGACAAGACATGTGTCATTCAAATCAAGAACAAAACATTTGCTAATCGTCACTATAGTGAACAACATGTTTGTTGAACCAGTTAAGTCAAAATTCATCTTTTACAATGTGAAGTTAAACACACTCGATAATATAGGAACTTATTGTTGTGTGACCACTAAACACTCATTATCTCAGGCACGAAAATTAAGACTCAAGCTGGCTCGATAGAATATTGGCTGAGGAGAAGAATTTAAATGATATTCTTATCTCTCCGCTAGGTCTTTTAATTATGTGGAGTTCACTGCCCTATTCAGAAAAACCCATTAAAATTATACTCAAAAGCATGAGGTAGTACAATTCATACATAAGCGATAAACGTTTTTCTCTTTATATAACGTTATCAGTTAATATAACAACATATTTTTTGTTCCAATCATAATTACTAAATAGCAATTGAACAATACACAAATTACGGTTATATATACATATTGTTAAAGCAAATAATATTACAACCTTACCTAGTTTTAAACAATTGGAACTCGTCACCGTAGATTGTGTTGGATTAACTGGACTAGTTAGTATTCCTTTGTCTGAATCTGTTTGTAGACCAGTTTTTGTGCTACTACTTACAGTTAAACTTGTATTATCTGATGCATAACTTGATACACACACATTTATTGATGATTTTTCTTTGACTAAATTAGCAAATTTTTGTTTAGCTGTCATATTATTCATTGTTAAACGTCGTACATTTTTTTCTGGACGTAAGTATATAATATATAATTTAGGAAAGAATAAACAACACAGCATAACACTTGCACTCAAATTGATAGATATACATAGAGTTGCTATTTGAATCTATAATAAACAACAGGAAAAATAAGAGTAAAAGGAGCTGACAAAAATAAATTGTTATATATATCATAAACAATAAATTTTAAATGTCAACTTCTATAATGTTAGTATGCAAACTAATTTTCTGATCATTTTTATAACAAACATATCAGTAGTATGATGAAAACGTGATAACAAAATCGTTTTGTAACGTTAGTCTTTTTTTAATGTTATTTATGATACTTTAATGAATTGATCTATTATCATTTATTTGTGTGTAATCAAATGAATTGCCCCCAAATGTCCTGGTACGGCGGAGAGTGAGGTGAACCCGCCCTCCCTCTCGAAATGCCCTCACACGGCCACGCGTATACAGCCTCTGCCAGGGAAGTCCTACTCACTGCATTTCCTTACGATGATCCACCGCCTTGTGGGCTAGACCTTTAGGTCCAGGGCTCAGGGTGTGGTCTCCTAAGAAGAACACCTGCTTCTGTCTGGGAACCCAGGCAGTAACCCAGCCCTCACACAAATCGAATGATTTATTTGGCGCATATGTATTTGGTGCCTCCATGTACCAGTGTTTATGTGTTTAAATAAAATAAGAAGTAAATAACAATCTAATGAATTACATTGTAATGCATTTGTTATTCTCTCTGTAAAGTAGTTGAAATAATTGTTTTCATGATTATGAAATTTTCATTCAAAATTGATGTATAATTTATTAAAACCTGATTGACTTCTATAATCAATGTGTAGGTTATGATTTATTCATTATATAAGAAGTATTTTAAAATTTGATTACATATATTAGCGATAAGATAGATACTAAATAAGTTTGATATGAATTCTCTCAATGGATGAATGATTTAACAATCTGTACAGACTGTGGAAATAGATTTTCTTTGAAAAAAAAAAACAACGTCTACTGTAAAACAAAACAGAGTTTCAAGATTTCAAGGTTAATTTTTGATAAAACTCAGTTTGGGACAATATAGATAAATTGATTGGTATTATTTCAATGTATACTACTGTAATGTAACATTTAATAATTTGTAGTGGACAATTAGTTTTATCTGATCATCAGTTTTATTCCCATTTAATGTTCAGATGTAGTTGACTGATTGTATTTTAAGCAAGCAGTGGACAGTTATCATAAGTTTTTATTTTGCTTCAATATAAATGAATTTTTAGTCAATTAAAACTTTAGTTGTCTTTTTCACAAAATGAATAACATAGCAATTAGTTATCTATTGATGAAGTAATTAACTAAATTAATCACTTTGTATTGATCACTATAGAGAGTTTGGAATGGGTAAGTTCCGCCCGTTTCAGTTTTAGTTATAAAAGGAAATTGTTAAAATGAGTAACTCTAAACAACACTGTATTTAAAGAGATTACTATGGAATGGCATGGTTATAGTTGAATTTTACTTAGAGAGTATAAAAAAATAGTGTTGATAAGTAAATGAACATCTTAATAATCGAATAAGGACAAATTTCAACATTTTTTATTGATTATTTGATAACAGAAATACAATCAAGGACATAATATAAATTGACATAAGTTTATATGCTCTGAAATTATATAAAAAGAGATGATAGGGTAACTATGGTGATAAAGGATCATCGATTCAGATCAGTTAAGAATTAAATATCAGAGTTTTAATAATCAATATATTAATTGGGTCATAAGTGTTGAAGTTTATAGTTAATTTTACTCAACTAATGAACTATTAGTGATTGAAACTAATAAAATATATATTGTTATTTCATATCAAATGAAAAATCCCAGCATTAATATTAAACATAAGATAGTATTCACTTGGTATTGTTTGGCTTGTATCTTCCCATTGAGGTTTAAGACTGCAATTGATCAGTCTGTTATTGGCATATGTGCATACTCTGCGTATGCCTCGATATTACCTTAATTCACAAGCTTTTTGTAAGCAATGATGGACAGTGGCTAGCAATGGAATCCAGAACGCGCGTTTCGTCCTATTTGGGACTCATCAGCTGGATGTACCTGTATCTCAGAGTTGATGTTCACTCTGGGACTCAAATCAGTTGTTGTCCCCATTATAATTATACAAGATAATGTTTCCTGAATATTTTGAATCGAATGCTAATAAACCTATGAAATGAACTGTTCAAATCCAACTGGTAATAACAATAAAAAATCAAGATGAATTGTAATTAGTTACCATAAAATTAAAGTATATATAAGTAAGAACATAGTAGATGAAACTATACCATTACATATACTCTATGGAATAGCAAATTAGATGAATATAAATTTGTACAAAATAAATCATTTAAATGCTACTTGGTTAAGTGTTTTAAGAGGTTCATTACTTAAAAATTTAATAAATTAACTATTTATCATTCTTATGCAAATTTCTTTACGTTTATTAACTTGTTGCCAATAAACTTATCGTTGTGTAAAATTAATTCATTATGATTAGTATAATTTAATTGAGAACGACTAAAATAATCAAGAGTAAAATGAATACTTTCATTTTATTAATGATTCACTAATGAATTTCTTTTCTTTTTTTCTTTTTAAAGAAAAAATTAAACTTTTAAAAATGATTGTATCAAATTAGAATGATAAATTTTAACAATCTATTCATTAGAGTAAAATATATGTCATATTAAATTACATTTTACCATCAGGAAATTATAATAACTTCCAAGTAAAGTATTGTAGAACTAACAGTTTTGTGTCTCAAGTTCATAAAATATACATATTCAGTGTAAGACATTATAGGTATTTATTAATTTATTTAAAATCAAAGGTAAGCGTTTCGATCATTAAGAATTTCACAAAAAGTTTGAGTAGTTTCTTTGACACTTTTGAGTGCATTAATCTACGTTCGCTTTAGATTAACAAAAAACGATTTTTTTAATCGTATATCTTAACTGCTAATATAGAATTATAAACAAAGATCGATAGTGGCTAGCAGTGGAATCCAGGCCGCGCGTTTCGTCCTTTTTATGACTCGTCAGCTGAATGTACCTGCATCTCAGAGTTGATGTTCACTGTGGGACTCGAACTCAGTACCATTCGCTTCAAACGCCATCACGCTATCCACTTAACGCGCGTCCTGGATTCCAGTGTTAGCCTCTATCCATCATTGCTTAGAATGTTTGTGAACGAAAGAAATATCGAGGCAATACGTAGAGTATTCACATATGCCAATAAGAGACTGATAAATTGCAGTCCTAAAAATCAATGGAAAGATTCAAGTAGGTAATATCAAGTGAATTTAGTGATAAAGTATCTGTAACATGGTTCTTATTATACATAAAGTCCTTAGAACAACCTATTTAGCTGTTAAATATTTTCAGCAAAATAAAAAAACAACAACTTGGATTCATAACAAATTCAAGTTCAAGTCGTAGATATAATCTCATTTATTTATTCATCAGTCTAGGAATAACCATTACCAAACACAACATTATGTTCATGAAATGGCTATATATCCTGATCAATTCTAATTTACAAAAATCTCTTTATGGTTTGTATGAATAGTGAAAAAGGAAAAAAAACATTTTGTCGATTGAATACATTTATTATCAGTTAATTATATGTAACGAGAATTCAATTGACACTTGTAATGATCATCTAGTGATAAGTTATGGTATGATTTAATATCGTCAATAATATTTTTTTGTAATTAAATATAAATCATTTCCCTAGAAATTGGAAATATTATTACTATAGTACTAGTATTATTATCAGTAGTAGTATTTGTATCTCCATTAGTAATAGCGTCAGAATCAAATCAATTCGTAGTTTCTATTAAAGATAAGGAAGAGTACATCAATTCATTAAAATAAATTTATCACAAATATTCGGATGTAATACCAGTAACATATTTATTGTTAATATCTATCTAATTGTAACAGTCAGATAATTGATGAGTTTTAAAATAGTAATAATCTTATCTTTTGTATTCAGTATTGATTTATGAATAAGTAATAACGATTAACAATAAACTTTAATATGGAACAGTAAATAAATATATTTGAACAGTTAGTGATTATATAACCAAGGGAACATATTCCTTTTACTATTGATTATTGAAGTTTAAAATCCTGAAGAAACCAACAATGTTTCAGTGAGTTTTCATGTAAACTTAAATTTCACAAAACATCTTTCTTGGATACAACACCAAACAATTTTTAAAACTATTTCAATATATTATCAGACTAAAAAATGTTGATTTAAGTACAATATTGTTTAATATGTAAATTAGATTATTGACTATTAAAATGGAACAAAATACGAGATCATACCCTAATACAGTGAGATTCTTATACAGCATTACTTCTATTTTCAATTCAGTGTGAAATTTATTTCACTTTGATATATTTGACTAGAATATTCAATGAATCGATTCAGTGTGAACTTCGCCAAGTATAAAATGCAGTATGCGTTTTGTAGTTATTCTGTTATACCCATTTTTTTGTTTCCTGTATCTGGGTTGTTTATGACATTCGTTAGTAAAACTGATGTTTTAATGAGTATATTTGGTTAAATGGTCGTTGTAATATTAGTGAGGGGATAAAATCAATCATTATCACCAGAGTTTGCCTTCATGTGATCACTCGAACATTGATTATTTCTCATAGAGGTTGGTGATTAAAAAATATGCAAAATAATGGTCATCATCGTCGGTGGGAAATGTATTTCATTCACCCAAAACAACGTAAAACAGGAATTGCAAAATTTTTAGTGTGAAAACCTAAAATTGTTATACCTATCATTACCCCATGTTGTTGTTGGCAATATGATAGTTGTACTCCTTGTTTTGTCATATGGCTCTTGATAGTCTAATGATTTACTATAGGAAGAATATTTCAGTAGTTGTGAACATCTGTAGCTGAGGATCTGGGTGCTCTAATAGAATTGCCATGCAAATTGTTTCAATAACATTTATCATTATTTGCATTATAAACTTTCCTGTTATCCTTGAATTCTTATACAGTATTGCTCTTGGCTCTTAGTATTTTTAACAGAAAAATTCTAGTTAAGGACAATATTTTTCCAAGCAAATATACCCTGTCAAACTCTAAAATGTAATAAATATCAATCCAGCTTTGATAGTAAGAGTATCACTTCGAATTCTGCATAAACATCAGCCCTAACTGAAATCCGTTTTGGATAAAGCAAAGATGACCACATTAATATATCCTCCATGCTTGTTGCGTCAATTGTTTTACGCAAATTAAGAATACTCTTAAAACTAAATATGAATTTATGTTTATCAATGCCATGGTTGGACTTGACAGTTTTAAATAAGGCGTGCAATGGGTAGAAAGGTAATAATAAATATGAATGTTATTTGAGCAATCATATAAATTAACGGTGTTTTTATTAAATGTTAATTGAAAGCAACTGGTCTAGTAATCAAATATTCTTAGTTAAATATTATTCATATACCAAACAAAAAATCTCTTATCACCCATTTTCAAATGGCTATTGATCCGTTTAATATAAAATTATCGGTAGAAGTTAAAAAGTTTGAGTAGGCCGATAAGAAATAACAGAAATGACTTTAATAAAAACTGTAATTCAACTGTTCGAGATCTATTCCTTCGTTGAGATCCAACTAATAACATGAAACGAAGTCATTTTACATTTTTGAAAAACGGTAGACTATCATTCAGATGAACAAAATATATGCTTCATACAATTGTTTAACAGTTTCATAAATGGAAAACTTGATTATTTTCTTATGTTATAACTGCCTTATGAAAGATGATGTTATTAGTTTCCTTTGTTAATGGTCATTCTATTTATATTTATATTTTACGATTTGACGTACTGTTTTGATATATATCAGTTAGAATAACTAATGATTTGTTCAATTTAGCCTGTCTCAGTTTATTGCAAATTATAAGAGGGATATATATATATGAACGGTCATTCGGGGCATGCCGTGCTGTTAATACCAAATTCTCGTTGAAAAAATATACTGACCTAAGTTACAGTTGTATGGTACACTCTAGTTAGTATTGTACAAATGTCCTGCTGTTGATTCAAATGTCATTTTTTATTTCATGTCAATTCATTGTGCTTTTATTTTTATGCAACTGCTCTCAAAGGTCATTTAAGCTGTTTTGGAATACGTGTACGTTATAAATGTCATAATAAGTATTATGGAATACACAAAAACAATTTTATGCATATAGAGTAATTAGGGATATGAAATTTATAGATTGCAGTCAGAAAATCTGGCAATTATTTAGATAATATTTACAAGTGCTTTAATTACTACCAGTAGTATTGGTAGTCACAACATATTAGTTACTAACTGACCTTTATTAGTTATAGATCAGTATGGGGATGGATAGAAATCAATCTCTAATATTGTTAATTTTATATTATGGCTGTTAGGTGCAGGCAACAGTTATATTGCTCAGATAGTGATTTGTTTATGCTTGGCCTATTTTCTGATAATTAGTCAACAGGGATTCGGTTGTGTAAAAGCAAATAGAGTTTTCTGTACTCGGTTGTTCAATTAAATTTAATGTAGCAATTTTTAATTAGTTAGCAAGGGCTAAGATCCAAATGTTTCAATCATTAGTCCATTACTGCATTTAAGAGTATGAATTATATCGAAGCTGCTGATTTTTTAGTGAAACGGTAATTTTATGCGTAAAGTAAAAATATTGACTGTAACCGTGACCGATCAGTATTCATAAGTGAAAGAATGCATAGTTATGCAAATCTTAGTCTTCTTTTATATAACATGTAATCAAACTCTTGAAAGACGTTAACTTTTTTGATGAAGCTCTATTCTCTGAACTGGAAGTCTTCTATCAGAAGTTTGTGCTGATGATGTCATTCAGAATAGTGATGAAAGGTCCACGACCAAACCATCCACTTCAGACCACAAAGATCTATCAAAATCATCCACCTGTATTTTAACCATAAAGTCAACTGACTACTTTTGATAAAACTGTTAAATATTTAGTAAACTAAGATATTTATGATTTTCCAGTACCGCATACATAATCCCGTTTATTTTTTTCTTAAGTTTATTCTGCATATGAAATTTATTGTTTTGCTGTTCAAATAGCACACTGATTCATTTTCATGTTGTGTTAGAAGGGTCTGCTTTGTTTGAAGTTAACTTCATGTAAGATAAATGTTAAAATTCTGGAGATTTAATTCATTCCAGACAATATAAAAGGTGTATAAGCTACGCGAGAAATATTAGTGAGATATTTTTTAGGTAGAAAAAAAGTCAGCAAAGATTACTTTCAGTGGAAAAATAAAAATGAAAGAAAAATTAAGGTTTTTCCTCACATTCAAGTAAATGTGTTGGTGTATCCATGATAACAGTAATGATTATAAGAATAGTTACATGTATATGCTTGATTTATATAAACTATTTGCTAATTTTTATTGATATAAATAAGTGAAAAAAACACAGGTAACTATAGAGAATTGACACGGGTATGATGTGACATGTTTACATGTTCAAAGTCTATCTCATTAGCGATTTACCTTCGGACAAATCGAGCAAAAGACAATATGGTTGTGTGAATCACGGCAATTAGTATGTAACTAATCATTTGGAGGATTCCGCAGGTGAGAAAAATACTGCAATACAAAAATGAAGTTCTAAACCTTGTTGTTATGCTATCCCAGTGATCGAAGCGTTCACATCATGAATCCTGATTTACTGTACGAAAATAAAGATGTTAATCAAGTTCGTCGATTATATTAATTGTGCTTTATGACTTGTTGTGACGTTTAGCATGGATGATTTATAAATCTTTTTTGGCCAGTAATACATACCATGAGCCATTTACTCTGGGAATTGTGACACTAGTAGGTCTATAACACGAAACATTATTTGTATTATAAGTCATCTCACTTTAAAAAAAGTTGTTCATCGTGCTTCGTAAACAAATTTCAGATTGTCCGATTATTTTTTCTTAGCTTTTTGTATTTCTCTTTGACTAAAAATCTATAAGTGTTTAAAAATCCTCGCCATACTAAAACAGTGATGCATGAACGAAGGATATACCAAAGTCGATCAGATTCAAAGTCCTTCAGTCGCTGGAAATAACGGCTATTCAAATTGAGAAACTGGAGTTATGTGTGCAAAAGATTTATGTGCCACCTCTTCTCCTACCTTGGCCAATCTCTGGGCCGATAAATCAAAAATAATGTTAATTACATAAAAAGTGACCTGATTCGATTGATGCCTCTAAGGTCATGTATTTTTCGATGACTATAACTTGATCATATTCACATTTCTTTGTATCATTAACATGTCAATATGATAATTATTCTTTTAGGATCATTATTAATCTTTAGCATTCACCTCACTTTACTATTTCTTGCTGAATTAACATTACTGTACATCAATTCTTTTAACAAATATTGAATCTGGTTTGCAAACACATAATTATTTGTATCAGAAGGGGTTTTTGTGGACATCATAGTAATTTCAGTAGTTGAGATCATGAGTCAATTGAAGTTAGACCACCATGGAAAACTTTATGTTGCATATATATATTCTAGTTATGAATTGCATGATTTCATTTAACTTATAAAACTTATGGTAGTTACCATTATATGTTAGCCATTCCGATATTAAAAATTTTATTCTATTTTACAAACAATTCTTCATTCACATGCCATAATTTTAAATGACGTTAACCCTGACCATTTTCGGATTATTAATTTTAATATATAAGTGTAGAAAATAAAGAGATTTCAGTGAAAAGAAGTATTCTTCATTGATGTATCTCAGTGTTTTAAATTATTAGGTAAACACAGTTTTATCTGTATAAATGAATATGCATATTGGTTGGACAATTTAATTCACTTAATTTGTAACGATTTTTTAACTGATTGTAACCGCTGTGGAAGCTTGCAATGATTGAGGAAAACAGGTTTTCAAAACTTAATATGTGATTAAGTATTGAGAGTTTTCATTTCAACACAAAAGGATATTTGAAGAAACTTACTTTTGTGACTATTTTATGAAGTGAAACATTAGACTGAGATCATAATTTCCCCTCTAACGAATAAATCATTTTAGTGATCATCACAAGTTTTAAAAATTACGCAAGGTTCACGTTTACTTACTAAGCGTATTGTTGTTAACATATTATTTTAATATACAACTTTATATTCAAACTCTTACTGATCCCTTCTGATATATCGACTGTTAACATATGAATTGTAACGTTTATATTCAATGGAATACTTACTTGATGATTGCTAATTGTAGCGTAATACATTGGTAAAAATGCCAACCATATAATACATGTTGTATACATAGTGAAACCAATAAATTTTGATTCATTAAAATTTTCTGGAATCTGTCGTGTTTTTACAGCATATGCTGTACAAACAATAATTAAAATCATATTGTAAGCCAGGGAGATTAAAAAACTTTTATCTTTCATTGCACATCGTAAAACAAGATAACCAGGTCTAATTTCATCAATTCGTGTATCGGGTGAATCAAAGCCAAACCATATAGCTGATAGTGATAATTGTAGTGCAATTAATGATCCCGAAATAGCAAGTTGTGATCTTGGTGAAATATATACAGGACGTTTAGTAGTACGTTTTGCTGCATCAAATATTCTTGCTATACGATTGGTTTTTGTTAATAATGAAGCATACATCATTGCAAAACCAAGACCAATTAAGATTCGCTGCAGTGAACATGTGAAAATTGATGGTCTTGCAATCAGAATAAATGCACATGAATAGCAAACTAAACATCCAGCTAACTGTACATAAGCTAGTTCACGTCCTGTAGCGCGAATCAAGGGTGTATCAGAGTAGAAAACCCATGTAAGTATAACTCCACCAGTAATTAGTATTCCAAGACTACTGAAAGTTATTGGGACGATCGCAAACCAAGTCGAAATATCAATATAGTGTAACTGTATGCAAAAATAAAAATTTCTAGCAGGTTAAAACATTTAAGCACAAAATTTCGATAAATCTGTATTTTAGGAATCAGAAAGATTACTGTTCAGAATTCTAATCCATATCTTAAATTTTCGATTGAGTGTTTAGGTAAACTCTACTTTCACTTTAGACAGCATTGATGATCTTTGTTGTTCCCAAGTCACAAGCTAGAAATTGTGCTGATATACGTGTAGTTATAAATACACCAGATGATGTGTATCTTTCCGAAAAAATTTCATTTCACTGTAATAAGTTTACATCATAGTCGCTGAAAAATTCCCATTATATGAAAACACGATTAATATAATGGGAATTTTTCAGCGACTAAAATCTTGTGGTCAACCGATTGCGTTGAAGGTACTCAATGAGTATAACGCAAAGTTCACAGAAACGAAAGTTCATATGGTTGTGTTTTACATCATAGGTTCAACGTTCTCCGAGGATATTATAAAACAGATGTTTTCGACTGCGAATATACTTCAAAGCTCATAGCATAGTGAAATTCTGTTTTTTTGAACCTACTGTCAGATGGCGTTAGTGATAGCAACGTCTAGTAAAAAAACATCAAGTTATGTGATAAGCAGTTGAATAGATGGTTCCTTACCAAAGACGATCAGTCTAAGTAAGCATTTGTCTATAGTGTAGGTTAGTGAGATAGACCGAAACACTAGTTCAAGAATATTTCCTTTAAAAAAGGTAATTTCGTAGAATCCGCTCTATTTTAATTTGCGATTTAATAAATATGTTTTGAGTAGGTAAAAGTTTGACAGTTCACCAGAAAGAGTAATTAACATCCATTTTCTGTAGTAACTCTGTTTTGCAGTCATGAGAAGAAATTAATGTAAATTATATCTCAATAGAAGAAGCACGTGTAAAAAAGGGACGTTTGGAATGACTAACGCAATGTCCTCCATACTTTAAAAATCTCTACATTTTGCACTGAGGTGTTATCGTTGACCTTTGTCTTCTATTATATGGATATTTATATAGAATATCTTCCTCTTTGGTCTGGTTCCTGATCCTGTATTTGTCGAATATTTTTCTAAGTGGTTAATAAATTGTGTTGATTTCGACGTATTCTTTAATGTAGGCAATGACAAGATGACATTAGGCAATCAAGAACAAGGTCGACATGACAAGCTGTCAGTCATATGGGGATATTTTAATCTCTCACTCCTCCTTGAAGTTCATACTAATGATTTTATTTAGAAGGACATTAGAAGCTTCAAGATTAGATCATCCTGCCCAGTGAGCGAAACCCAATCAAACTAATCAATCTAAACTATAAACCTTTTCCACTATAAAATTTAATCATTATGCTTTTTAGGATCATATAAGAGGTGTCTTTCTTTGCTTACTTGAAAATATCATCAGGGTGTTCAAAAGGTTGTCTATATGTGGATTATATTTTCAGGTTGGCGTTTTGATTTGAACATTGTGATATAACAGTCTAATGTATAGACCGTGTCGCCGATCAGCTGGATATTTCATATATTATTTGGTTTATTAGATAATACACTACAGTATACACGATAGTTGCATACAATTTACTCTCTATCTATTCTGTTTCTTAAGTAACAACTGTATATGCGTTATAATTTGGTAGCATGAGAACTTACGTTCTGTATTACTTAATAAACTATAACTTGATCACGGCAGAGATATTTCTCAACGAAAATAGCGTGGTACTTAGACTTTCAATAGTAGGAAATTATCTTCTTAAACGAAACTAACTATGGTTAATTTTACAACAGGCTCTAATTTCTAGTCGACATATGAAACCATTATATTACCATTTATCTTTCCAGCTATATATTATTTTTTCTCTATCACTATTCATGATTCCATGAACTTGTCAACTCTCCAAAAATTTGTTACCTCTATTATCATGAATTTTTTATTCGGCTACCATAAAAAACTGTTAAAAGGTTACTGAAGAATCAATGTCTCACTATTATACTATTACTTAGTGGAATGTAACAATTTGAAACCCTCGCCATTTCAATTTCAAGCCTAAGCACCTTTATTTTAAATGTTTTTGACTGTAATTATATTTGGATCTATCATATTTCTAACTTCTAAATGAAACTCATTTCAGTTTAACTAAATGATCCTCAACACTTCACTTGATACCAAAAAATAATTGACATGACCGACTTCAAATAAAACCATATATTGCACATTTATTTATTGCCATTTTGAAAAGATTAACGTTTGAACGTTGGACAGAGTTATATGTAGCAAATGATAAATAATTAATTTTGGATTTACCTCTAAAAGTTCGCATGTTCTTTTATCCTTTGAAGGCCAGTGTTGAAAAGGACAAGTTTCACAGTGAGTTAAATTAACTACACGTTGGTCTACACCGCATGTTTCGCATGACCAACAGCATTGTTGTTTCTTGTCTAAACGTCGAACTTCACCAAATCTACATAACATTAATTAAAAAAGAAGAATAAAAGTAACACCTTATTTGCATAGTATTTTGAAGCTTTTTTATTAACAAGGAAGCAATCTTCGTAGCTGATAACAGACTGGTAGTTGGGGGATTAAATCGGAAGCAGATTGTTTAATTGTTTTCGCGCATATCCGTTGTCTGACTGAGGTGTTTTCTCTGAAATACCACTGAGCAATATATAATGTCACTGAATGTCTGATCCAAAGCATTGGATAATATCGATTAAATCCAAGGTAATGATGAATGTATCTTAGCAACCATCGTCAACTGGAACGCAGCCTTTCTATTGATTGTCCACAACTATTAAGAATATAGTATGGTGTAGAGTAACTTTGGATAGTGGTTGGAGGTAGTCGACAGGAAACCCTGGACCCGGGTTTCGTGCTACTTGGCACTCGTCAGCAAGGTGTACCTGTAATCTTGAGGGAAATAGTGCTCCCTGGAGGATTCGATCTCGTGTAACCCAGCTTCAAAGTCAGAGACGTCACTACTGAGCTATCCGAGCCGCGACCGACCTCCTGTAGGACTGAGATGTAATCACAATTGATTGATCACTGGGTGGTGATCAATGTCATGCGTGTCTAGTTCTTATTGGTGCAAATCGAATGCTATCGCTCATGTTGCAATGTGGCCACCAGTCTAGGTGACACCTTGCTGACTAGTGCCAAGTAGCACGAAACCCAGGTCCAGGGTTTCCTGTCGACTACCTCTAACCACCATCTAAATCTCAATATATAGTGCCTGCAGTGTCGGGTCACCTAGACTGGTGGTCACATTGCAACATGATCGATAGCATTCGATGTGCACTAATAAGGACTAGACACGCATGACACTGATCACCACCCAGTGATCAATCAATTGTGAGAGTAACTTTGATTACTGTTTAAGCCTTGACTTGATCTAAAGACTTTGATCAGTGCAGTGGAATAGAAAAGCCTGACAATGGTTACATCCCTGTGACAATTTATTTGACACAGATAGTTACCACATAGCTACAAAATTCAACGTCGTTGACATTTTGTTTTTTAAATTTTCTGTCGTTAAGTAAACAATATTCACTGATAAAATTCTTCAAAAGACTAAATGCTGAATTTTGGAAATATATAATACTACATTATGCACTTTTGATCTATTTAGATCCATAGATGCTGTGTTTCAAATTCATTGGCGAATTCATAAAGAAACCGTATTTTCAAGAACAGTTGTTACATTGAAAATACCAGTATTGACATAAATCTATTTTTTTCTAATCATACTACGTATAGTTTATTGTTCCTTATTAAAGTTACTACCACAGTGGAAGAAACTCTACAAATGAAATCAACTATACAGTGTATTTTGTTTGTACAGCACTGAAATAAGAACACAAAAATGACTTCAATGGACTTTGAAATTGGTTTTGACTTTTTTTAATGATATAGTTTGATGATTTTTCTTTGCAAAATAGACAGAAATATAACACAATCGCTTTATTTATCACTGATTGTGAAAGTGATAACTATCAAAGTTTTGGTCAGATGTCGGCAAAAGTGCGATATAATACTAACCACACTTTTAAAGAAGCGTCCTTTAATTTTTTAAAGAAGAAATCTGATAAGATTTAATCTAGTAGAAATGCTATAACAACACCGTGAAGCTGTTTGTTAAAGTCTTTTTAAAATAAAAAGTACATGTCCAAATTCATTTCCACATTCAAAATTTTTGAAGGAGTAAATGGAAATTTAGATTTCTGTTTCTCAATTCCTGACTTTATTATATCGATACAATCCACTATATCCTTTAGCTTACCTGTGAGTAAAAGATGATTTATCAAACTATAACAAACTTTCTCCAAACACTTTCAACTTTCCCAGTTTATGTATAGATTTAAAGTGTGTTTTTCGCATAACTATTTAAGAGTTCTTGACTCATTGATTTTAAAGTGTTTATGAATACATTGATAAAAGAACCAGTTTTTTAGTATTTTTGTTAGACCAACAAGTTTCAGAGTCAAAATATCAGTAAATATGATCGGTTTGTATATACTTTTAGAGATTGAATCTATTACACTCAAGTGTTCAATCAGTTACTGAATGTTTTTTTTTCTTTCTAGATGATTGCTGTAAGCCATTAGATTATTATAAGGTTAGCAACTGTGTATTAGATAAATCTTTAGGATTTAGCGTTTTATTAGGCTTGGTATTTATTACGTTTTTAAGTTTATACTGTTATTCACTGTTTTTTTTATCTATTATTAACTTTAAACCAAATCGAATATAACAAAACAAACACATTTTGATATCTGTACTAAATTTATTCTTTAAAAAATGGAATAAAGCAGAGGAATTTTAGCTGGGAAACCATTGACAGAGAGTAATTTGGCCTAAAGATTGACAAATGTCAAGAAAATAGCATGAATAGAATACATATGAAATTATGGAACTAAATAAAAGTTTTCTAAGGAGATGTGGAATAGAGAACACTACACAGCGACCAGATTAAGAAGAGCGCTAGTCATATACATCTTTTGAGTACATAGTTTAAATTAGATGTTTAGTTATATTAATGCGATAGCATATACTTATAATTAATTTAATTCTTAAAATTAGTAGTATACGGGATTTGTGGAGATTATAAGATTTTCACAGTTTAAATCATGAACGGAATTTAGCTAAACGATCGTTGAGAATCTAGAAGCTTTCTCCAGCCGTTTCTTTCCAGTGTCGTGCTCCAATCAATGGACATCTATGACTCCGCACTCTGGCGTTGGATCCGAAACTTTCGGTTATATAGGGGAACGATGAACCTCTAGACCAATGAGCTGATATCCAGCAGTGTTAATGTCTAAGTTCAACTAGTTCGTGATATTCTGCAACCCGTATCCATCAAATACAGTAGATAAATGTCTCATACCCGACACAGGTTGAACTCCAGCAGTCATAGCTTCTCATTTCTATTGTAAAGTGCTACATCTTGAAGCTAATTACTACTAAATCTATCGAATATATTTTATACATCGAAAGTCTTTTAGGATAAGTATGATCTACTGAAGCAAGCAATAATTTTACTTTCAATTTCAGAATTTTGTTGAAAAAATGACAATCAGTTCATTCAATAAACATTAGAACAAACGAGATTAAAATGAGCTAAAGCTAACATTTCATTATCAAGTTTAGATTTCTAACCTTTCTAGTTAATAACAATAAAAGAATATTTACGCGTATTGTTATATTTTGATATGCTCTTACGTAGTCATTGAGTTACATGTTATTCATTCAGGTTTTTCTATTAAAAACTTTCTTACCGGTAATATGAACAACTGAAAACAATCTTTTGTATGTTTATTTATCCCAAGAATAGTGGATGAAAATCAATCAACAAATGTAATCTAAATATATCAAACATAATATGTTTATACACTTGAGATAATATGTTTTCATATCTATATTTATATGTATTATTCAATATTGTTATTCTGTGTTGTCTGAAAATAAATAGGTTACTTACCCTCTGGGCAAATGATTCTTATGAAATAATATAATGTTTTTTGTTTTCATTTTTGCCGGTAAAATCGTTATCACATCGTTAAATGTGACGTAAACAGCCGATTTATCATGTGTCTTCAGTGAAACTGTTTATATGGTATCATTAAGTTAATCGATTATCATGTATATTACTGATAGCATGAAAGTAGCTTGCGAATACGTCTGAGAGCTGTCTTATTAAAGTATAGGAAATGAAAATGACTGCATGATTAGTTAGTATACCAGTGTTCGTTTAACCGCATCATTTAAAACTTCGTCTGAATGGAAGGATGTTGTTCATAATCTATATGTATTGAATGGGTCACAGAGTCACAAGTATGATGACACATTTGATTGAAACAGCTTCATCATCAACATCTGCTGTATCAATAATTTACTTCATAATATGTTTAGTATTTTCTTCATCATGGTGTTTATTTAAGAATACGAAGTCAATGAATTAAGTCATTTTTTTCCTAAATTCAAACTTTAGTCAATGGGATACAATATATAAACATCACATAGTAAATTTAATATTCGTCATCTGATTGTAAATCTGTATCGTTTCAACATTTTATACAGTGAACTTTCCTCTATATTTCAACTGCTTTGTTTTGCCACTACATGTCACTATTTATTCTTAACTATAATCCAATTGTACTGTCACCAAGTAAGTGTATTTACAATGAGCATTAAAGTTGTGGTTGACATCTAAAATCATGAAAATAAGATCATCTATGTTAAATATGTTTGATTCCAGCTGCACCACCTGAGCCGATATTTATTTAGTGAAGAAAGGAAATAAAATGAATTGATATTTGTCTTATTTAAGTTCAAGAACTTACAGGATCGCCAACCTCATTATATATTCAAAATAACTGTTCGATTAGAGAATCGTTTTAAAGATTTCATTTTATACTCAGTGGTACTGAATTACATTTCTCAGTGTAAAATATATACACAAGGTTTTAAATTTTCCAATCAGTGTTAAGAATTGTTTCTAATGGCTTAAATACTTGGATAGACTCTTACTAGTAAAGTTCAAAGGTCATTTTAAAAAGTGTTGGAAAAATAAGATTATGAATTATAATCGGTGCAGTAACATCATGTGAACATGAAAGAAAACGGAAATGTTACATTAAGGTCGGTGGGTTAATATTATTTGAAAGGCATAAATTCCTATCTGAAGTACAGCGCAAAGCAAACTTTGTAAAACATTTATGGTGAGGGTTTCTAGCATATAGTTGATGTAGTTACTTTAATCTAGACTAAAGAATCATAGAGATTCAGTACATATCTCTCTAATTTAAATTTCTTCATTTTGATCGATTTTTCCTAATTTTTTTAATCAATAAGAACTGAGTTTAACTTTACATTTGAATGATCTCTGTAGAGTACTAGAGTCGTTATCTTAGTAATTTTTGTCATATTTACATTTCTAATAAAATACCCTAATATGAGAGTATTAAATCTGTAAAAGATCAAGGGATTAGGTTTACCCTAATAATTATTTGAGCGACATTTCAAAGCTACTTAACATATACGATGGGTTTTTGTCGTAGCGTATTACACATATGTGATTATTTTTATTATTAAAAATTGACTGACGATTACAGAAAAAAAACATTACGAAACCCGTGAAAGCGTAATGTGTTAAGATAATTTATTTTAGGCAACTTTTTTTATTTAAACAATTATACTCTATATGTTTATCTCTCTAGTTGTATACTCAAAGAGAAACTGTTGAAATTATGTTGGTTAGGAATATGTTTACTAAATACGAAACATAAATCCTAAGTAGTGTTGAATTATTCGATACAAGAAACTTCCTTGTTGACTAGATGCCTTATCGATCCTACTTCACATATTTAAGAAGAAATCTTGATGATTTCCGGAAGGCAGAACATTTTAAGTGAATACGTTTATGCATTTGAGAGTATTTCGTATGACATTCATACTCTTCCATATAACTAGTTGGTGAGAATGACTGTGTTCAGAAGGGATTAAATTTCATACGGTATCCAAGTAAACTAAAGTTCCTGATAAACATTGAACGCTTATTTAAGACGTAAAAAGGCTGTTTAAATGATTAACTTACTAATTGATGCATCCAAAAAATAAAATACCTTCGACTTACCCACATTCTTCTGAACATTGGCTAACTGGAAAATTTTTTGATTCCCCACCCGGCCATATAGGTCGTGCACGCATTGTAAGTTTGCCACCTTGAAAATCACCGACCAAACGATAATGATACTGACCAGTGTATGGATCGCGCGCATAATTATATATTGAATATTGTCCATAGCCATCACCGTTTTCATCGAATGCAACATAGTTGCCATAATTATCTTTAACAAAAATAAAAATGAGGTGGGAGGGTGAAGTGGATAAAAAGTCAGTGGTAAGATTAATAGCTATCGAAATAAAATATTTCGTTAAAGAACCAATTTAACGATCATGAAGACCACCTACATCTACATGAACATGGATTAGCAATAAATCAACATTACTTAATATTACTAAAACCGATACATTAAAACAATCATCGACAGGAGTTTGACTAGAGAATTATTAAGGAAGATCTAAAATTTTTGCAAAGTGCTAGAAGTATGAAATTCAGATCTGATGGCAATCCGCAGATATATCGGCATGCGTTCATCCTGCTAGCACATAATCAGAGGATTAGAGGTCAACTGAAATTCATACCCAACACAAGTGCAAGAACCTATGGAGACAACCATCACAAATAAGATCATCAGAACGATCTGATATGACAATAGCTAAATAAATGGAGCACTCCTTTCAAGATAAAGGAGTCCCTGATTACTATGACCAGTGTAACAATGAAAGTTCTGAAGTTAAACTATCTAGCGTGAGGAACTTTATAATCTACTGTACAATGTACTCAATTGAAAAACTAGTGAGATATTTCAGATTATTTAACTGATTGATTTAGTATGACACAAATATATTGACTAAACATTCGCATCTAAATTAGTAAAGTGAGCGCATTATGTAACCTATTTTTAATATATGTGATAATCCATCAATATTTCATCAGAACCATCAGGTTATTTTGCAGTGATTGCGGGATTTGAAGCCAGGGCCTATCAGTGTCGCGTGCAAATGCTTAACCACTAGACCACTTAGTCGGCCGGCATCTAACGGTGTTAATATCTAACTTCAACTAATCCACGAAATTGAGCGGGTTGTTAAGTACTGCATTTTTATTTTATATAAAGGCTCTTCCTCATTATTCTTAGCGTTGTAAATACTATATTTGAAGTATTCGTGTAAAATATTCATAGTGTTGTTTAACTAATTATTTTATGGGAAAATCAATAAATTTCAACTTTCTAATCTCTTGAAATTATCCTAATGGGTTTCTGGAAGTTTCGTATATCACATGTATATTTACAGCGTTTATTTTAGTTCTCTAATTTTTTATTTGAGTACTTGCTCTACCATTCTTAAGTTTTTTTAATATCGAACTATTACCAGTTATAAACAACTGATGAAGACTTAATGAATCATTATGAAATCGTTTTATCCAACTTTTATTTCTTATTTTCTCTGTTCAATTTAATGAAAGTGAATGAAGTCATATCAATAGCCAAATATTGAATGTGAATGTATGAAATGGGTAACGATTAGTTTATTTTATGCAATGACATTCCTTTTTGAGCAAATTAAAAGATTATTTACACTAAATGGCATTAGATTAAAACCAGAATATACATGAAAAAAACATCCATTTTAAAACATGCATTTAGGAGATATTGTAGACGGGTTTTTTTAAGGAACATCTGAATGAACCCTTATTCACTAGTTACACAAATTGACCATTCTTAAACAAACAGAATTTATAGTATGATCAAGCCGTCAGATTCTAAAATCGCATTGAATTTACCAAGACATATCAATCAGTAAAACCTCCATAGGTAAAATGTAATATAATTTTTTTAAATGACAGCGAAAATTTGTAATTAATATGAATTCAGTTAATTAAGTCGTGTTCTCAAAGCTCGAAGGTGTAGTTCTACGTTTTTTTGTCCTAGTAACAAGATAAAATGTTCACTGTTCTCAGTAGATTTTCTTCAATAGATGGCAAGTTGGTTTACAGATAAAAATTTAGAAAAAATTAAAGCTATTTACGTTTTTATCTAAAGGAAATATCTGATGTCATATATATTTGTTAGATTACCAGATATATGTAACATTTTATAGCATAAAAATGTTCCACGTATGTATGTGATGCTTTTTAGGAAGATCAGATGTTATGTATATCTTACTGTCAGTAAACAGGAAGTAAGTTTACCTGTGTCTTACTATGTTAGTTATCTGTGACTAAATAGTAAAATCGATAACAAAATTGTATTACTTATTATAAACTGGTCATTTTAAAGAGGGACTAATTTCCTGATGGTAAACTATCAACCAGTACACACATATTTATAGTGTTCATTTTTCTATAAAAAAAATATCACTCTAATCATAGAGGTCATTTTGTAGAACTTAACTAAGGATTATCTACCAATGTAAATTATTTAGTTGATATTCAGATGGATTTAGTGTAGAGGTTTTAAAAGAATTAATCAGTGCTAACAAGCGTTTTCTTATTCCTACACTCCATTTGAATGAAGTGATAGTTTGATTTTAAAAAGTAGGTCAGTGATCTCATCGGGTTGTATTCATATTTATATTCAACATAGAATAACTATTGTATCCCTTTAAAAATTGATCTACATTTTTATAAACTATAAAAACAAAACAAAATAGAATATACAATGAAAAACCATTCAGTTTCAAAAATATGGAGGCAAGTTTGAATTAGGAAGGACTTAAATATCTAAGAAAAAGGTCAATAGTATTAATACGTTCATTAATATTTATCATTTGAAAAACAGAAATCTTTGGAAATATCTTGATCAATTTCTTAATGGTTGAAATAAAGAAAGGTAACGTTACAAACTATTTAACAATCAAAAGATAATTATAGTTTAGTTCATAAAACCTTTCGTAATGAAAACTTATATGTGATGTTCAATGAATCACTACAGAGATAATTAAATTACTATGTTTATTTGTTCTCATCAAATGGGATAAGTAATATAACTGGATATCAACAGTATTGTTATGATTATGAAAATTAGACTTGAAACAGGAGAGTGACATTTGAACTATATGAAGGAGGAGCTTGAACTAATGACAGATGAACATTTTATTCACCCTTCGAAAAATACCACGACAACTTTTACCAAATACTCTGATTTATGTGTCAAGTTCACAAATAGTTTGATGATTCCGTAATGAATATCACAACCAATACAGGGTAAATATAAAAATAAATTTCACATAAAACTACTGCAAAACGCATCCTACACTAGAACATGGACCAACATCACGTTATGTTGATACGAAATATGTTACTCAGACTATTATACTGAAATAAAGTGGATATTATGCTGAACAAAATATCACCCTGAAATAAAAAGTTGTCATGTGACTTTATCTCGTTCTAATGAGTGAGAGTTTGTTGGAACTTTCGTAAACCGTTATTTAGAATAGTGTACAAATACAAACAAAATATTTACTTAATTTTTACTTATGTGGCTAATCAACTGTTTAACACTGATAACGACCTAAATAATAAATATTTTTGACGAAGTTTCTAATTCTTCTCATTTCAAGACTAACCCTTTATTGGAGATTATAGATCGCTTCGAAGCCAACATATTTTCAAAGTTAATCGGATTAATTAAATTTAAAATGTACGTGATACATGATGAACACTAACTTCTGATTTTAAGCGGTCGACGGGCATTACCGTGTAATTATGTAGCTTATATTCAATATTTTTATAAATGATTTATTAATGTCAGTTGGGAAGAGTTCTCCAGCGAACTATTTATAGGTATCAATACGAAAATTATATTTATTAGTGAACTCTCTTGACGTTTGATAGAATCATGCGTACTAACAAGTGTTAAACGAGTGTTAAACAATTAAGTAGACATCTCTAACCTTATATACATGAAATGAATATTAAAATTTAATTCTAGATATTACGAAGGTGAAATATTCAGCCTGATCTATTCAAAAATAAATAAAGATGCAATTAATGTTATAGATAACCATTCATAGTAAATTGTGTAATCTGAAATAATAAACTTTGATGGAGTTTTGTTCTCTGAGCTGGATGGTTTGGTCTTGCAACTTACATCGTTCTTCTGAACGACATAATCAGCTCAGAGAACAAAACTCCATCAAAATCATTCATCTGAGCTACAAATCTTCTCCACCATCCCGAAATAATAAGCGCGTTTTATCTATGGGTTTAAAGATTTCATTCTGCATAATATTGTAGTTCGATAATATTTTTTGACAATTTCAAATAGCAGGACTTCATGGCTCATAGTGTAGTATGAACTGCTAGATGAAGTAAGATGTAAATATGATCAGAATAATAACGAATATAAGATTCAAGTGTTGTGTGTAGCTACAAACTGTAACTGTTTTGTTCATAAGATATGACATCAACGAATTACAAACAAACGTTTTGTTTAATCAGTTTTGCCCCTTGAAACTATTGATATGATAATAAATCATAGACCTTTAACCAAAATAACAATATGATTATTATATTATTATATTATTATTTATTTCTAACTTCTAATATCATTAATATCAATGGGTGGTTGTTTATTCTGTTGATACAAGTCTCTATTCACCGATCCAATATTTTACAATCTTTTTGAAAAAATCTCTGTTTATATTAATGCTTTATTTAGCATGGGTAATACTGAAGATTTATATGGCAAAATTATTTCGCCCTCATTTTTCTTCATCAAAATAGGTGCACTAGAATAAAAAAGAATGTTTATTTTCTATTTTACATAAATGCACAAAATGTAAGCCAGTACATGTGCACTATCGTTTGCACTTTCAATTCTAAATCAAACTATTCTTGATCATAAGTTGGGTTTTTTGATTACGTACTTTCTAAATATTTACTGTATTAAATATTGGCTACACATTAAAATCTATTTTGCTTTCTGTTGAAACAAGGGAAATACTTGGTGATACACATGGTGAGTTGTTCTTCTTAAATAGCAAATGATGCATATAAAGATACATAAAGAAATCTAATTGTAAGCATCCTATTAATGACAATACACATACCGTGTGACTAACATAGGTTTAATTATATGCACTGAATATTTTTATTTGACATAGTGTTAATGAAGTTGTGAAATTTGTTCTATCAACAGAATGGCTCACACTAAACATATCAGTATTTCATGTTACATTGCCAGTGGTATTCGAAAGAGAACTTTTAAACTAATGT